ATATATAAATTGTTTGTTTTATATAAAAAGAAGTTTAATTAGATTATAATTTAATAAAATATAAATTAAAATATTTTTAAAGTTTGCATTTTTTATAAAGGTACAGTGGCCTTTATTTCTAAAGCTTTTATATTCTTCAATCATCAATTGTAAATTTAACATGGCTCGAAATTGCAACAGACAATTTATTCAGTATATATACATATCTATAAAATGCAGATTAATTGCTTGTGTCGTCACAAATTCTCTAATTCTTAATTTAATCCATGTAAAGTAAGTAAATTTAGTTATGATCATCACCAAATTTTTACATCTTTTCGTTAATTTGGCCGCAATATGTTTCTGGCCAAGTTTTCTAGACAACAAGTCCTTAATAAAAATCAGGTATAAAATAGTTGGGTTTTCGCCTAGAATGAAAAGCATGTTGAAAAGTTTTAATTAATTATCATTCTCTCTTCGCATTTATTGGAAACCTTAAAATAAAAAACACGCACGTATAAAGCTCCGTAGATTGAGGCAATACCTTATTTACGTTGTTTTAGATTTTGTATTTCGTTGTTATTCAATAAAAATATAAACCTTACATTCGTTTTAAACCTAAAATCATATGAAAAATATGACGCACAGTAGATTACGTCATACCTTTTTTATTATTTATTGATTAAGACTTACATCATTCTGTTTATGATTTTTTCGTGCGCTAATACGATTCGGTTATAAATTTCCCTGAATGTTACGATTTTCAAAAAAATTCTTATTCTTTAACAACGAACGATGGGAAATTCTATATCAAATCCCTCTGTAAAAGAATTATCCAATTTATCCAATGATATTGGACAACTTTTTTCCAGTGGAGATAATTATGACATGATTATTCAAGCAGGAGAAGGTCAAAACATGAAAGAATTCTTTGTGCACTCATTAATTTTAGCAGCAAGATCAACATACTTTAAGGTTGAATTGTCATTGGAAAGAAAATATAAAAGTAACGGAATTATTATTTTTAAAAAACCAAACATTTCACCAGAAATCCTTAAATTAATTCTAAAATTTCTCTATAACGGAAATGTTGTTTTGGATAATTTAAGTGGGACAGAAGTGTTGAAACTTTTTGTTGTTGCATTTGAATGGAATCTTCAAAATTTAATTAATTTTATTCAGCCTTATTTGATCAATAATCAAGTCGAATATTTAAGAAATGAACCAGTTGAAATTCTTCAAATGATCTTTCAATTTAATGTGTTTGAAAACTTGAGAAATAATTATTTAGAAACCATTTGCGAGAATCCTAAAATTCTTTTTGAATCTCCAAACTTTGTATCACTAGAAAAGGATATTTTGATTAATCTTTTGAAAAGAGATGAACTTGAAATGGAAGAAATTGAAATTTGGAATTATATTCTCAAATGGGGCATTTCAAAAATGTCTACCCCATTGAATATTGATGACTTATTTCGCTGGACATCCGAAGATTTGGAACGGATACTTCATGATTTAATTCCACACATTAGATGCTTTCAGATTCCTTCGTTAATATTTTGGAAAAATGTCGAACCATTTGAACCAATATTTCCAAAAAAACTTTATAAAGATATAATCGGATATCTTAGTAATCCAAACACATTACCGGATACTTTGATATTACCCAAAAGACATAAATATTCTTTGGATTCTGTTCTTATTAACAAAAATCATTTGTTCATGATCACAAGCTGGATTGATAAAAAAGATAAAAATTTTTATAGTTCTAAAAATGTACCTTATACATTTAAACTTCTTTATCGTGCTAGTAGAGATGGATTTGAGGAAAAAAAATTTCATAAATTATGTGACAACAAAGGTTCAACAATAATGATTTCAAAATTGGAAAAAGGTGGTAAATTAATTGGTGGTTACAATCCGTTTAGTTGGAATTCCAATATATTCTTAAATCGTTGGGGTTCAACATCAGATAGTTTTCTATTTTCTTTCGCAAATAAAAAAGATCTTGATTCGGGAAGCATTGCAAGAGCAACAAGTGATAATAAGTATCAAAAATATGCAGTGTTTTCTAGTTCAGATTCAGGTCCAGCTTTTGGTGGACGCTGTGGATGTGGTGGATGTGATTTAATTATTCATGGCAATAGTATTAATAGATATGTTGGCGCATACCCTGAAGTAGATAGTATATTACATACCAAGAATACTAAAACTATTGTGGATTATGAGATATTTCAGGTGATACAAGTCTAATAAATTGAAACCAAGCAAAAACTGTCGAGAATGAAATCAGCTATAATGTATCAAAGAAATATACTAAACAAAAAGCCAATAAATTCATTCATTTATTTGATATTTCAGATTTCTTATCACAAAAGTAAATTGTGTATGTAATTGAAGAATTAGAAATTTTAAATAAAGTGAAAATTTATTCAATGGGAAATAATGGGAATTTGAATTCAAATGTATTATTAAAGCTTCCTTTGTTTCACATCCTTTTATTTGATCTCAAAAATCAATCCCATCATTGTTTATCCATTACATCATATTTTTCATCAATTACCATAAAATTTTCAAGAAAGAAGGTTAATAATAAAAGTATAATTGAATTATTTCTAAACAATAAAAAAAATCAATACACACAATTCTTTAAAATATTTATTCAATAGATCGATCACGAAAAATGTAAAAAAATAACTTTTGAAAATTCGATAAAATTCTGGATTATAATAACATTTTTCCACTTATATGATTAATAAACATAATACTGTATATATTTAAAGAAAATAAACCTATCTAATTCTTTTTATTTTTCCTTTTAAGCAGTTTACCCCACATTTTAATTTCAAATTTTTGTCTTCTAGTATAATTATTCCCATTAACTTCATTTCTATTACATTTCTTCATTCTTGCATTATGTGATGGCGTTTCTTGCTCTAAATCTGAACGTCCTTGTGAAGATTTATTCTCTTCTTTCAAATCTTTGATTCTTTTTTCCATCGTATTATTTTCCGGGATTTCTTCGTTTGATTTAACATTTAATGTATCAACTTTTTCTTTAATCGATTTCTTTGGAAAAGATTCTAAAAAAAAAATGGTTAGCTTATTATAGGTTAAGACGATATAAAAATGATTACTTCATTCGATCAATTTACAAGTCTCATGTATTTCAGCTGGTCAAACATAAATAAATACATCCTAAAGTCTCCATTTATCTTACAAAATAACATTCACACTCACTATTCTTTAAACGCCTAGGCCCATTCCTAAAATTATTTTGTTTTTTTTCAACACGACCCATTTTTTCATAAAAATTAAGGGAAAAAATTAGCGAGCTTTTTTTAAATATTCATGAACTCGTTCACGTGCAAGTGATATCAATCATTTCTGAATTAGGAAAGCATTACGACACTTGAAATCTTTTGACTCAACTTATTTAACTCAAAAATTTAGCTTGACTTATTCAAAACTCTATATGTTGTAACTGTTTAAACTGAATTTAAATCGATTTATACCAAACCAGTTTTAACCTCTAGTATTTTAAAATTGAAAAAAATATTTTTACTAATATTTTCATAATAAAAAGAATTACCTTTTTTTCAAATATTTAATTTGGTTTAATATATATTTTAAAAAAAATAATTCATAATTTAAAATTATAAAATATAATATAGAATTTTATAATATATATGAAAAATTTATTATGTATTACCACTGTATTTACCATCAGAGTCATGTATTTTATATGTTTATATTACATATATTATTTGTCATCTCATGTTATATCTTACTATCATTTTTAATATGTATTCTAAAGACTTTGAATATTTTACCACTAAAAAATATTTGTTTTATCTCTTAAATATCATCGATCATATGAGATAATAAAATACTTCAATTTAATAGCAAACTCCTATATATAAATACATTATATCTATTATGAAAAATTGCTTTTAATTTTTTATAAATTTTATTTAACAATTACAAACTATATTTTTAATAAAATGTTTTATATATAATGTTACTAAATAAATATTTATAAAATACAAATAAAATAAATAATTCTTTAGCTATTTATAAAATAAATTAATATATTAAATAAATAATTTAAAAATAATTTAAATCTTTTATTTTAACACTTTTAATATTTAAGACTTCTATTAAATTAAATAAATATATTAATATTAAGAAATTTGTATTTTATAAATTTAATATAATATAATAATTACCAATATTTTAACTAATTTCTAAATTTAAAATATCATTTAATCTT